GGGATTAAAGCATAGGGAATAAGGGATGATGACCCGAGCTGGGGGCTGAAGGGCACCCATAGGGATAAAAGGCCTATTGAGATTAGGCCTTGTGGTCAGAGAGTGGCAGACAGTGGTAGGAGGCTTGAGGGGAGTCTTGCAAGAAGCACACAGGAATGACGGGTTTATTGATTTAGTGCACATAGAAGAGACCATAGGAAACTGTCCTGCTGCTTTTTGTCACTGCCACATGAAAATATAATATGAAAATAAGAACTGAGTTTCATTTAGAGGCCGTGTGTCAGTAGCAGAGTCCACACAAGTGTCGTATCAAGGACAGCATGAGAGAAGAAGCCTCAGAGTCTCTTGATTCTCCTTCAGAAAACAGAGAGGCCCTTGGGGACTGGGGGAGAGAGTTAGAACCAAGTCTACTGCCACGTCTTGGTGAGAAGTCTGCCCCAGCACAGGCTGCCGCGGCTGTTGAGGAGTCACTCATCTCTCAGAGCCTTGGGAAAAGAGGTCCTTGATGTCTACAAACAATTTTTCCCTCTTCCCATCTCTTGGGCTTTACTGCGAATAAAAATTAATGGGGATCTTGCTGAAATACAGATTCCTGGGCCTTGTCCCCAGATAATCTCATTCAACAGATATGGATGCAGACAAGAATCTGCATTCCAACGCAGCATCTCAGGTGCGTGTGATGAGTGGTAGGAAAAGCAATGCTGTTCTAAGGAAGAGCAGGTGGGCAGAGACAAGGTTTTTGAGTTCTTCATAAGAAGAGTGACAGGTCTTTTAAAGGCAAGTAGCTGATTTTTCCCTTTCTTTCCTTCCTTCCTTTTTTCTTTCTTTCTTTCTTTCTTTCTTCCTTCCTTCCTCCTTTCTTCCTCCTTTCCTTCCTTCCTTCCTTCTTCCTTCCTTCCTTCCTTTCTTTCTTTCCTTCCTTTCTTTCCTTCCTTTCTTTCTTTCTTTCTTTTTTCCTTCCTTTCTTTCTTCCTTCCTTCCTTCCTTCCTTCCTTCCTTCCTTCCTTCTTTCTTTCTTTCTTTCTTTCTTTCTTTCTTTCTTTCTTGTCTCACTCTGTTGCCCAGGCTGGAGCACAGTGGCACAATCATGGCCACTGCAGCTTTGACTTGCTGGGCTCAGGTGATCCCCCTTCCTCAGCCTTCCAAGTAACTGGAACTATAAGTGCAAGCCACCATACTTGGCTAATCTGTTGATTTATTATAGAGATGAGGTCTCATCAAGTTGCCTAGGCTGGTCTTGAACCCCTGGGCTCAGGCAATCCTCTGGCCTCTACCTCTCAAAGTGCTAGGATTACAGGCGTGGGCCACCGTGCCTGGCCTTTCCCCCACTTTCTGCAGGTAGAAAATCACATCTGATTTTGGAAGATTGTGAAAGAATAGAGAGAAAGTTCTTCCAGAAAGGGCATTTGGGGAGCATAGTACCCATCTAAAGGAGTGTGGAATAGCAATATTGTCAGTTGGAGAGTTAGATGTTGATTGCTTATACTAAGGTAGCAAATAGTTTTGGCAAGTGGACATGACTTGAGAGAAAGATTCCCTGTTCCTCCAGAGGAATGGAAACATGTGGAGACATATAGAACATCATTTTGTAAGAATGAGAAACCAGAAGCTCCCAGAAAAGAAAGGTGAGGGTGGGTGAACTCTAAAGAGGGAGCTGACTGAGACAGACAGAGAAACAGAAAGTGAGACAGAGAAAGAGAAACATAGAGAGGGGGAGAGAGACAAAGAGAGAGAGAGAGAGAGAGAGAGAGAGAGAGACAGACAGACAGACAGACAGAAAGACAGAGAGAGAGGCAGAGAGACAAAGAGAAAGAGACAGTGACAAAGAGAATCAGGCAGACAGAGAGATTGTCTCTGTCTGTTTCTGTCTGTCTCTTCATCTTCCTGTCTTTCTGTCTCAGAGAAACAGAGAGAGACAGAGAGAGAGAGAGAGAGAGAAAGAGACAGAGAGAGACAGAGAGACAGAGAGATGGAGAGACAGAAAGAGAGACACAGAGAGAAAGACACACACACAGACAGACAAAGAGAAAGAGAGACAGGCTGACAGAGGGACAGAGAGAGACAGACAGAGAGACAGAGAAACAAAGAGAGAGATAGAGAGATGAAGAGACAGACAGAAACAGAGAGAGAAAAACACACACATAAACACACAGACAGACAAAGAGAAAGAGAGACAGAAAGACAGAGAGATGGAGAGACTAACACACACACACACACAGAGAGAGAGAGAGAGAGAGAGAGAGAGAGAGAGAGAGAGAGACAGAAAGATAAAGAGAGAGGGAGAAAAATCAGATTTCAAGGTAAACTAACCAGGGAGTGACCAGGGAACAAGCAGAAGGTTTAAAAGTGGGAAATAGTTACTCTGAGGGGCAGTCTCCTAACTAGGAATCAAGAACCTGGGTTCTAGGAATACATGTGCTGTGAATTAAAGTACCTGAATCGTGCAGAGAATATTTCTGAAAGAATGCATGAAAGACAGGGCAGATTTTTTTATACCATTAAAATTGTTACTATACCTTGTACATCTGTGCTAATTAAGAGTTGACAGTAAGGTTTCATGAATCATTTAGGCCTCATGATGCCTCAACATGCATTTAACCCCATTTCATAAATGGAAAACTAAGTTTCAGGTTTTAGGAGATTTGTCCAAGGTCCTAAGGAAAGAAGGCAAAACCAGAACCCAAATCTTTTAAATCCCAGCCCATGACTTTCTAGGTTTAGCCTAGATGCCTCTGTGCAACCTTTCCCACACTGTTTGACCTCCCTGGATTTGTTTCCTCATTTCTAAAGTGAGAAAGGTGAACCAAACTGCCCTTTCAAAACTCTCATATGAGGTAGAATCACACGGGGAGCTTGGTTTAAAATGCAGAGATGTCCTGGTTTGATCTCCAGAGAGTCAGAGGCAGGAGATCTAGGGAGGCCCAGATAGGTATTAATGAATGCCTCAGATGCACATCGAAGTTTGAGAGACTCAGCTAGATCAGTGCTTCTGAAAAATGTGTATCTGAAAAAAAGAGGTGCATCTGGCCAAACTGGGCTCTTATTAAAACAGAGATTCTAATTGGGAGGGGACTGAGCTCTCCATTTCTAACAAGTTCACAAGTGGAGCTGATGCAGCAGTTCTGGAAATTACAATTGAATAGCAAAGAATGGAGAATCATCAAGATCTCTCTTGCTCTAGACTTCATAGTGTTGAATAAAGGAAGGAGAATGTCTTTGTTTAGAAAGTTGCTTTGAAGGAGGTCAGGAAAGGAAGACCTGCCCAAAGGAGTTGCTGGAAAGGGACCCAGGGGAAGAAGAACACATCAGCAGAGGTTTCAGATGCTAAGGAAAGGTAGAGCCTTGCCCTGGAGCCCAGGAGTGGTTCTAGAGATTGAAGAAGGAACAGAGTCTTCTAAAGGACTATCTGTGGAGAGCCTCAGATAGTCTAGGAGGGAAATCAGAACATGCTATGAAAATTCCAATGAAACCATTAACAACAGGCTGACATGCCCGAGAGGCAAATTACCATGGGTCATTCACTGAAGCTCTGTGAGAGTGAACTCATGGTCATGGCTAAGATTGTCATTCTTTGTTGCTCTGCAAAGATCCTGTGAGACAGGAAAAGAGATGAGAAAGGTTATGTGTTTGGAGAATGTGTTTGGTACCTTTTCTCTTGGGTGGAGGCAGCAGAATGTTAAGAAACATTCTGTTTGTGGTTGTTCCGGTCTTTTTCACCTGGGTTAGCTTGAGTTCATTTTGTTTTGTTGTTGATGAAAAAGTCAAACTCTAAAATATTTAATGGCCCAGAGAACGTGTGCTTGAGCTGGTTGGGTTACAGCTTGGTTTTATACATTTTAGGGAAGCAGAAGTTACAAGCAAATGTATAAATTAATACAAGTAAGGTTTACATTGGCTTGGCCTGAAAAGGTGGGATATCTCCAAGCTAGGTAGCTTACAGGCCATAGGTGGATTCAAAGATTTTCTGCAAGACTTAAGCGAGTATAGACAGGTTCTCTTTTCAGATCCTAAAAAGTATCAGACTCTTAGTTAAATCTCTCCTGGATCTGAGAAAGACCTAGAAAGGAAGATTTTCTAGAGGCAAATTTCCCCTACAAAAGATGGCTCTGTAGGGCCATTTCAAAATATGCCAAAGAAATGTATTTTGGGCTATGTACCAGGCAATGCTATGCCAAAGTCAGGTTGGAATTTGGTATCTTCTTGCCACAGAGTCTGTTTTGTCAGTCTTATGACCTCTTTTTAATGTTAATGTGGTCAATTATGCCTACACTCCAAAAGGGATGTCTGACCGTATTCCCATCATGACCAAAATTCAGTGTTTCAGATTTCCCTTGGACCAGAGGAGGTCCATTCAGTCAGTTGGGGTGCTTAAGATTTTGTTTTTGGTTTATGATATTTTGTTATTGTTGTATGTATACAGTGTGTGTGTGTGTGTGTGTGTGTGTGTGTGTGTGTGTGTATGTGTGTGTGTGTGTGTATCTCACTGTGTTGTTTTTTTTTCCTGCATAGGAAGCAACGGGAATTCTGGTGGTCTCAGCCGTATCAGCCTCATACCTGCCTCAAATCAACCATATGTAAGTGTGTGGCCACCTGGAGCCCAGCATATGTCTGGGGAAGCCTCCCCTCCACTCCCAGGGCTGGCTTTGTGTCCAAGAGGGGATCTCTAGATGTCCCCACTGTCCTCAAACAATCTCTCTGGCAGCCAGCTATCTGGCGTTCTACCTTAGATATTCATTCCTTTGGATTTAGAAGCATTTTCCATTTATGAGAATGCAACTGTTCTTGTGCTGATGACACCTTAAGTCATCCCTCCCTGACTTAAAGTCCCCCAAAGATCTCTGTAGCTCATATGTGCGTGACACACCACTGGCAGGCTAGGCTGCATAGCCACATGCAAGCCTTCATCTGGGTTCTATTATCTTAGAAGCACTGATTGACAACCATGTGTGCCTTAGGTGAGTAAATACGGGACTGAATTGTCACTTACTGAATGCAGTTTGAACGTTGGACAATATTATTCAAACAGCAGGGAGGAGTGGTTGGTAAAGGAACCCATGGTGGCAAGAGCTTGTGAACCACTTTCTGTCCTAATAAAGGTGCTGTAGCTTGGCAAAGACCAGCTGGAGCCTGTGAAATAAGGCCCTTCTTCAATGACCCTAGATGGCCCCTAGAGAGGAGTTAAGGAAGGGGGTGGGCACCGGGAGAGAAGCCTAGAAGGATACTAGAATAGACAGCAATACCGGGCCAGCTTTGCCATGACAAGCCCTCACCCACTGTGTTATCTCACTTCTCTAAGCCAAAATCAGTTTTTCTTATTCTCCTATTGAAAAGATATGAGGGGGAACCCAAAAGACCCAGAATTTATTTATTAAAAATTGTGTATTTATTCTAACATGTTTAAACTTGTCACCTCCAAAGTGTTCTCCATTTGATGCAATACTCCTGTCGAGACACCTTTTCCACTGCTCAAAAACAGTTTTTGAACTTGTCAATCTTGATGCCTTTTGGTGCTTTTGCCATTTATTTGTTTCACCTCTTCCACATCAGCAAAAGATTTCCCGTTGAGGACTTGTTTTCATCTAGGGAAACAAAAAAAAATTGCTTGGATTGAGATCAGGTGAAGAGGGAAGGTGGGGCACGGAAGTTATGCTGTTTTTGGTCAAAAACCGCTGAACACTCAACTCTATATGGGCAGCTGTGCTCGTAAATCACCCATCATGAAATGGGCAGATGCATTGAAAGAATCTTAAAAAAAAAAAAAAAATCACTGAAACTGAACGCAAGCTCTCACAACAATGCTAGCTGGTACACTGATGCCGATGGGTTCCCAGAATACTTACCTAGCAAGGGAAGCCTGTGCTACACTCTTCAAAAGATAATTCCAGGGTTTTTTTGGTCCTTCTCACATGATGACAACTATGAAGGCATTTTTGAAAGAAGGAAACACTTATTCTCATTGATGATATTTTCATATTACATTTCAGTTATGAATATATATTTTACACGGTTACAGAAATAGCTGCAATACCATTTTTAATTTTTTTTAATTTTTTTTAATTTAACATATTATAGGCAGGTGTGGAAGTTCACACCTATAATCTCAGCACTTTGGGAGGCCGAAGTGAGAGGATTACTTGAGTCCAGTAGTTCGAGACCAGCCTAGGCAACATAGCGAGATCTCTTCCCTCTAGAAAAACATTTAAAAATTAGTTGGGCATGGTAGTGTGCACTTGTAGTCCCAGCTAATCAAGGGGGTGAGGCAGAAAGATTGCCTGAGCCTAGGAGGCGGAGGCCGTGGTCAGCTGTGATTGTGCCATTGCAATCCAGCCCGTGTGACAGAGACCAGATTCAAAGGAAAAAAAAATTATCAGAAACATTTGCATGGCCAGGTGCAGTGGCCTATAATCCCAGCACTTTGGGATTGCCTAAGTCTACCAGTTAGAGAACAGCCGGGGCCACTTGGTGAGACCTCATCTCTACAATAAATCAAAAAATTAGCCGGGCTTACTAGTGTGCATCTGTAGTTCTGGCTACTTGGAAGGCTGAGGTGGAAGGATCACCAGAGCCAAGCAGGTTGACGCTGGAGTGGCTGTGGGTGTGCCACTGCACTCCATCCTGGGTGACAGAGTGAGACTCCAACTCAAAAAAAAAAAAAAAAAAAAAGAACCATTTTCATGACATAATCTTCAAAGTGATAAATTTTAGTTACCGCTCTCATGTTTTGAAAAAAATTTGTTTTAAATCAAACTAGATTGAAATAATTATTTAATTTGCCTTCCTATTTTATTTCTCAAAGTTGCATGTAAACGTGAATTAGAGGCCAGATATGGTGGCTCATGTCTGTAATCCCAGCACTTTAGGAGATGGAGGCCAGAGGATTGCCTGAGCCCAGGGGTTCAAGACCAGCCTGGGCAACTTGGCGCAACCTCATCTCTACAATAAATTTAAAAAGTAGCTGGGTGTGATGGCACATGCCTGTAGTTCCAGCTACTTAAAGGCTGAGGAGGAAGGATTGCCTGAGCCCAGGAGGTTGAGGCTGCAGTAGCAGTGATCATGTGACTGCACTCCAGCCTAGGTGACAGAGTGAGACTCCAACTCAAAAAAAAAAAATGAATTAGTTACCAGCATCTGATAACTCCCTGTAGTGTGGCCACTGGTTGACATTTAATTTGCTCATGTAGCTTAAGTGCAATTTATATTGACTTTTTGGAAGGCCTCTCCTGAAAATAGTTTACATCATTCTAGTATTATCCTCACAAACCTCTAAGTCCAGAAACCTCAGGGCTGGAGCCACTGAATAAAGGGCCACCACTTTCAGGGGATGTTTCTGATGAAGTATAATCACTTTCTAAACTACTAGGTCATTTCTTTTCTTTTGAACAGTTTAGATGATGCAGAAAAATTATATTATTGCGTATTTTTCTGCTCTGCTTAAATCTTGACATAGGGGGAAAAAAATCTCAGAGGCAGGCTACTGAGTCAAGAGATACATGTAATTTTATTTGTCAAGAGTTATTGAAAAATTCCAGTCCTATGTTAGTTTGCAGATGCTTATTAAAAAGTTGTTTACTGAAGATGCACTTATCTTAAGGATGACACCTTAAGTTGTCATCCCTGCTTCTTTTCCTCTCTCCCTCTCTCTCTTATTCTTTTTTTTCCTTCCTTCCATTCAAGACTTGAGTTCCTAAAATATGCTATACTAAGCACACTAGTTCAAAAACGAGTAGAATGCCACCCTTACAGAGCTAATTGGGAGGAAAAGGAGTGGGAGTTACTAGAAGCCAGTAGAGTCTCATTTCCAACAAGACCCACACATGTATTTGTTGGACATGGCATTTGGTTAGCGTTCTGTCACTGAATCTTCCCTGAACTTTTAGAGAATCAACCCGGAATATTAACTTAATTACAATAATGTTGGCATTTTGCTTTTCTTGTTGTAAATTAATCTGAGAAACGGTAGCATAGACTATTGTGTTCTTTTTTTTTTTCCTGCTTCAATTATTTGCCTGGACCCAGCAATATCTATGGAAGAAGGTAAGAAATAGTATTTAGGAAAAAACTCATCTCCAAAGTCTCCTAGAAATGTCCTGCAGTTTTAAAATTCACTTCATTTCAGTTTACCTATTTATTAAGCTCTTCCTATATACCTAGTAGTGTGCTACTACTACAGGGCAGTAGGCATTAACACTAATTTATAAAAAGTTGTCAGTCAAAAGAATGCAAGCAAAGTATAATTGTACTAACACTGAGAGGAATAAAGAAAAGAGAAGTGAGTAACATTTATATGCAGCCCCAGAGTTTAACACAGCATGATAAGAACTCAGTAAAGGTTGTGAAACTGATTAGTTGTTTTGTTTCAACTGACTATACGTGACATAAAAACAACATTGTAAGGACATTGTTATTATTGTTCCCATTTTGTGGATTAAAAGACTGAGGTTCAGAGAAGGTGAGAACAGTTGTCAATGCAGTCTGGATTCAAGCTTTCGTCTGTCTGAAGGGCTCTGAGCAAGGGGGCAAATGGGACCTTCAGTTATTATCCCTTTCCTGTCTCCATTCTCAGCCATCCAGATGACTCATTGGGATGTCAAATACACGTGTGCATGTACACACCACACACACACACACACACACACACACACACACACACACACACTCACTCAAGCAAGAAAGCAAGATGCTGCCCACTTGTGGAGAGGGGAGAGAAGAGTGAAGTCCCTGTAGCCAACCCCCACATTTCACCCCTGAAATTGGAAAGGGAGATCAGAGGACTACAGAAGAATGACTTTTGAAAACTGATCCATGAGTACAGAGCTCCAACCTGTGTCCCCCAAGGACAGGAGAGGTGTGTGACACAGGCAGATGGAAGCAGAAATGGGGGCAGAGGGAGGTGGGGGACAAGTCCATGGTGCCTGCTTCGGTTTGTTTGCCTAGGATCATGTTGCAGGTTGCGCTCTTGAGAATTGCGAAGGGACACCTGGGTGTGAGCTAGGGACTCTGTGGTCTTGGGGGTAATAAGCAAAATCAGTGGCCCTATCTCTAGACCCCAGAGTTGCATGTCAGAAAAGTCAAGGCTTCTTGTGCTGTCCCTGGAGATTCACACATGGTCTCTGAGCCTGGATCTGGAAAATAAAAATGACCATTGCATTTTTTGTTTGCCTTTAAGAAATAACTTTGTTATGTCCTGGGAATTAATGAACTCACTGTTGTTATAAATAGCTAATCTGAAAAATAATCTCAAAATTTGTGAAAGAGAGTGGATGATGGCACTGCATATCTCTGCTGTGTCACCAGTTTATCTGTGCCCTTATCTCTACGAGACAGTGTTATTTCATAAAGATTTTCAGGGCAGGCACAGTAGCTTATGCCTATAATCCCAGTACTTTAGGAGGCCAAGGTGGGAGGATCGCTTGTGTTTGAGACCCGCCTGGGCAACCTAGCAAGACCTCGTCTCCACAAAAAATCAAAAATATTAGCTGGGAGTGGTGGCACTAGCCTATAGTCCTGGATACTTAGAAGGCTGAGGCGGGAGACTCGCCTGAGCCAAGAAGGTAGAGTCTTCAGTGAGATGATCATACTACTGCACTCCAGCCTGAGTGAAATCCCAACTCAGAAAAACAAAAAGATTTTCATATTTCATTTAAAAGCACTAATGAATGATGTGGTTTTTAAGGGGGTGATAATGATACTTTATGACATTACAGCTTATTATATGGACTATGCTTTGTACATAGCCACCTGGCTCATACATTTTCATCTAATACAATGGAGTCCTTTTGTCCCTCCAAATGAAGCTATATAGAAACTTCATTTATTAAAACTCTTTCAGTGAGCACCTGGGACTTGCTGGGCCCTGCTGGCACAAGACGGACTATGCTGAAGGAGAAAAAAAAAGTGTTTCCAGGACATATATTCAAGTCAACTATGTTGATATTCAAAGGAAAATTCAGCTGAATAAATAATGGCTCACTTACATGCAAGACACTCTAGCAAGCGTATTTGAAAGTTAGTAAGACATTTCCTGCTTTTGAGGCATTGTCTAGGAGAACAAAGGAGGTAAACACCTACGTGGCCACCAAGGTGAGCAGGTGTGCAGGGGCAGGAGGTCAGGATGACAGGAAGAAGAAACTCTGTGGGCTCACAGCAGGGTGTTCATGTAGCTCAGTGTTGGAGATGAACTCTGAAGCATTACACATCCAGGGAACAGCATTAGCAAAGGCACAAAGGAAGAACCACAACCCTGACTCTAACGGTAGTATAAAAAATGTGAAGGAGAGGAGGGATGGCAGCCTTCCCAGCTGAGTTGGGTTCATTCGTGGAGGGTTTGAGGAGCTGGAATAAGTGGTTTTTAAAGTCATATTCTGGGCATGGTGGCTCACACCTGTAATCTGGGCATGGTGGCTAACACCTGTAATCTCAGGTCTTCGAGAGCCCGAGATGAGAGGATCTCTTGAGGTCAGGAATTCAAGACCAGCTTGAACAACATTGCAAGACTTTGTCTACAAAATTTAAAAAATTACCTGGGCACAGTGGCATGCACCTGTACTCCCAGCTACTTGGGAGGCTGGTGCAGGAGGATCACTTAAGTTCAGGAGTTTGAGACTGCAGAGAGCTATAATTGTCTCAGAGAGTGAAACCCTGTCTCTAGAAAAAACAATTAAAGTGATATCCTTTAGTTATCTTCTATATGCCTTGGCTAAGGGTAAAAGTAGTTAACATGTATTGAGTTCTTACCATGTGCCTGAGCTTTTCATGAATTATCTCAAACCTATCCTATATGGGAGAAGTCTGGCATTCAAAACCTGTGCATTTACACTTGAACTTTCATGTCCTATAGCCTTCCATAGCCACCTGGCTCATACATTTTCATCTAATACAATGGAGTCCTTTTCCCTCCAGGTGAGCTTGAGTGGTAAGAGCAATGTTTTGGAAGGAGCTCTGAGTTGTATGGACAGAAGCTTACACCCAGGAGTTTTGTTTTTAATGTGGATACATGTTAAATTCTGTTTTCCCCTTTCTATGCTCTTTTATAGAAGATGACATGAAGATTGATGAGAAATGTGTGGAAGCAGGTAACGTTTCCTCTTGATTGATTTCCTACTAGAAGAAATAGAAAGTACCTGTAGCCATCTAGTCACAGATGATCTGGAGCAGTCAACCAAAGGGATTACAGCCTTTCCTCTGGAAGAAATATATAAAATAACCCCCCAGCCCACCTTTTTTCAGTGGTTCTGACACTTATAAGGAGAACCTGTGGGAGCACCTCCAGGCTCCCACCAACCTACCAGAGAATATTCTAGAAAGCAGCATCTTATAAATGATCTCAGAAATACTTCGTAACACTCAGCTCAGATGGTGGAACACTTGGAGACCCCTGTGCTATTTGTGACATGCCATAAAATATTGCAATATAATTTTTTTTTTTTTTTTGAGTTGGAGTCTCACTCTGTCACCCAGACTGGAGTGCAGTGGCCGCTCCTGGCCACCGCAACCTTGACCTGCTGGGCTCCGGCGATCCTTCCACCTCAGCCTTCCAAGTAGCCGGAATTACAGGCATGCGCTACCACGCCCGGTTGATTTTTTTGATTTATTACAGAGATGAGATCTCGCTGCCCAGATGGGTCTCGAACCCGCGGGCTCAGGCAGTCCACTCACCTCAGCCTCCCAAAGACGCAGGATTACAGGCTGAGCCACCGAGCACGGCTACAATATCATTTTTAAAAAGCAAAATATATGTGTGTATATATTTTAATGGCTAGACAAAGACTGAGTCGACCTAGACTTAGGGAGTACACATGCATGCTCATTATGTGAACATATTGTGTTGTGTTGGGGACTCGGTCTCAGGTGGCCCATTCCCCAGATAGTGAACATTGTGCCCCATAGGTAGTTTCTGAACCCTAACCTCCCCCCCATGCCTCTCCTTTTATTGGTGCCCCAGGGTCTGTTATCTCCATCTTTGTGACCGTTTAGTTTCTGTATATGAGTGAGAACATGTGGAGTTTGGTTTTCTGTTTCAGAGTCAGTTCACTTAGGGGGATGATCTCCAGCTCCATCCCTGTTGCTGCAGAGGACATGATTTCACTCTTTTTTATGGCTGCATAGTACTCCATGGTGTATATATACCACATTTTCTTTATCCAGTCAATTGTTGGTGGGCTCTTATGTTGGTTCCACGATCTTGCTATTGTGAATAGTGCTGCAGTGAACATACAAGTCCAGATATATTTTTTTATATATTGATTTATTTTCTTTTACAGAGATCCCTAGTAGTGCAATTGCTGGGTCAAAATATGCATTTTATTATTAAGTTTGATGCCTTCTCTGATATAGTCTAGTATAGATAGATAGTAATAGGTTTCCATATTTTCAAAAATACAAGAGAAGACCCCAAAAGATGAAATTTATTTATTAAAAAATTGTGTATTCTTACATGTTTAAACCTCAGTCACCTTCAAAATACTCTCTGGTATAATACACCTATTGAGATGCTTTTTACACTGCTCAAAATGGCTTTTGAATTCATCAATGTTGATGTCTTTTAGTGCTTCTGCCATTTTTTGTTTCACCTCTTCCATATCTGCAAAACATTTCTCTCTGAGGACTTTTTTCAACCAGGGAATCAAAAAAAAAAAAAAGTTACTCATTGAATAAGGAGGATGGGACATGGGAGTCATACTGTTTTTGGTCAAAACCTGCTGAACCCTCAGCATGGCATGGGCAGGTGCACTTGTAAATCACCCATCATGAAATGGGCAAACGCATTGAAAGAATCTCCAAAAAAAAATCCACTGAAGCTGAATGCAGCCTCTTACAACAACGATAGCTGGTATACATCAGTGGAACCCTGTCCTACAAGGGGCCCACCCTCCAAAAGATAATTCCATTGGGGGGGGTAATCCCTCATGTGTGAAAGCTTTTTACATCTCTGGTATTTATTTTGTAAATTGAGAAAATATTTTTCACATTTAGTGGCAGAACTAGGATTGGCTCAGTAATCACTAGGGTTTTGTTGGGAGATTAGTTGGAGAGACTTTAGTATCATAGGTGAATGCGTCTTAGCTTTACCTAGTTTTTAGAAACGAAAGAACAATGTCAAATTTTAAAATAGTGAGTATTTCAAAGATTTATATTTATTTTTTAGAACAAGTACAGAATACTGCTGATGCTATGTTTACCAAGCGTACATTTTTAAACTTGCAATAATATTTATTTCCTTTCTACAGTTTGAATTATAATTTATTAGGTAATATATTCACATAGTCCAAAATTCAAAAAATCACAAAAGTACATTCATTCAGAAGCCCCTCCCCGCTGTGTTCCCTACTCAGTGTTTCTCCTTGGGGCACTGCATGTGGTCAGATCTTTCAGTGTGCCTCCAGACACACTCTGCCTTGTTCAAGCTATGATGTGTAATTTTCTCTTTTATTCTTTCTCATCCCCACAGTTTTTTCCCCAAATATAAATGCAAATGCCCTTGATGGTATGAAAGACATTGTTCTGTTTCTGGCTTTTTCACTTAACATTATATGCCTTGGGGATGATTATATCTTAGTATGTAAAAAGCCTCTTTATATTTTAACAGCACATTGGTTATTGTGCACTTATACAATCACTTACTTGTAGACATTTGAGTTATGTCCAATTGTTTCTGTTACAAGCAGCTATTTATAACTATATCATTTCACATGCATGCGTATACCTTAGAGGCAGCGTTGCCTGATGCAAGGGTGCAGGCACTGGAAATGTTGCTATATATTTCAAATTGCCCTCCAGAACATTTCTAGCTGTCTAATTTTGCATCCCTCTTTTTTTTAATTTAGTTTTTTTTTTAGAGATGGGGTTTTGCTATGTTGCCCAGGCTGGTCTCAAACTTCTGGCCTCAAGCAGTCCTCCCACCTCAGCCTCCCAGAGTGCTAGGACTACAAGCACGGCCACCATGCCCAGCCCTAATCTCTTTTTAAAATGCTAACAAGAATGGTTTTAAACAGCGAGGTAGCTGGTTCATTGCTCATCTTTCTCAGGGGCTGAATAAGCCTAGGCAACCAAGATCTTCATGGGTTCCCTGCTTCTCCCACCCTGCCCCCCTTGCAGGTCCCCAACACTTCAGGTAGGGTGTGCCCCTCCCACCTCTGCAAGCTCGTTTTCCCTACCCTTTGGGCCTCTTTTCAAATTTTATTCTCTTTGGTCTCCTCTATTTGTGATTTTTATTTACTTATTTTAAGCTCCTGCCGCACTCCTGATTGTCATTACAGCTCAACTGCTGAACACCACATATTTCATTTTAGGCTTGTATAGGCCCTAGAGACACCTTTGGCTTGACCTTGATTGGGGGGGGGACCTCGAAAGATGGGGGAGGGGAGCAGAAGTATAGGTGGGGGAATTTGACTCAAAAATATAAACTCAGTGTGGGCAGTAATGCAGTGACATTTTTCATTTTTGCCTCCATGGAAATGTAGATGAAGAAACATTTGAATCTGGTAAGTAAAAAAAAAATGAGTATTTGGTACCAGTTTTTAATTGATATTGCAAAGTTTGGTATAAGTTGAACACATATTTAGGGTTATAATAGTAACCTAGTTGAGAAACTGGGAAGTGTGGTGTCTATACTGAATCAATTTTCTTTATATTATTTGTTATTATTGATGACACATGGTAAGTATCAAGTGTCTATCCTTCAAAATAACGTTCACATCATTAGTAACAAAATAGGCCCACAGAGTGTTATTTTTTTTAACTGCCAACCTGCTGGGTATGTTAACATTACTCACCTGATTCCAAGTATACTGTATTTCCTGATTTTCTTTACTAAATCAGTCTCTAATTGCTTTAACATATTATTCCTAACTAAATTAAGGCGATTTCCCTCTTTCTCTTATCATACAAAATATGTCTAGTCTTTTATTACTTACCAGAACACTTTTTATTCTAGTGTTCACCTGCTTTCTTTCCATGTTTCTGTATTTCATATAAGGAACATTTTCTGATTTTCTTACTTCTTTTAAATCCATGCTTCTTTGTTATAGGTAGATATAAGCATCTAGTAGTTTCTTATATTTTCCAGAGATGTTATGCTTGAGATTTATATTTTTATATACATACTTTAAAAATATAAATTACTATTGATGTTTCCTTCGTATTCCATTGAACATTTTTTTTTAAAACTGTGTAGTAGATTACCCAGTCTATTATTTCCTTTCATAGAGTAAGGAGATTGCTATAAATGTTAGTTATAAAAATAAGACAATATTGAGACAGATGGAGCTGAAAACCACTCACCTAAATTATTTACTTCCCATCTATGTTGTTTCTAAATTCCATTAGAAGGTCACCTGTAGGGGTAGTTTGACTGTCTATACCTACTTGGTGTTTGGGATTGGCTTCATTTTTAATTCCTCCCGCTCATACTCATCCTTCTTTTTTCCAGTCACTCTTTGTTTTGCTGGAAAACACATGCTAAGGTCCTGGAGTACTTACGGGGTGTGAAAGGAGAGGCAGTGTGGCTTAGTGGGTAGACTTGAGACCATGAACTTGAGCCAGACTGTCCAAGCATGACTCCTAGTTGATTACTCACGAACTACCTCTGGTGTTTAAACTCTGTGGCCTTCAGGTTCCCCAACTCTAAACAGGAGCAATAATTTACACAAGTAAAGTGTTTGGAATGGTGCCCAGCACACAGTAAGCACCGCAGGAGTGTGACGGGCATGGTTACCAAGCTGGTTCTCTAAACACAGCCCTGCGGGGAGGCGAGCAGCTGCCCTTGCCCGCTGGAAAGCTCTCCACTGAAAGACTGGAAGCTCTCAAGTCCATGCTGAACCCCGCTCCCCTGGGAGTTCAATAATGAAAAGCTAGCCCCCAGCTGGCATCTTCTCTAAATGAATAACCCTTGGCATCGATTCATAATGCTTATTTCTGTGACTAGACCACTTCGTGGGCAGCTAAGATTCTTCAGTTTCGGTTTCTACTCCGAATGAGGAATGATGTGACCTTCTTGAGTTTCTCCAGGAGGTGATGGGAGAGTCTATTTAATCAGGAATGACATTTAAAAACAAAACAGGGAATGCGGGTTTTCAAGATGTCTAGGAAACAAAGAAAACAGTTTGTTGGATTTCCTGGCTTCAAGGGAAATGGAGGTGCAAGTGTATACACCAGACCCGAAGGGTGGGAGAAAGAAGCTGCTCAGGCCAGAGGCTGCGGGTCGCCTCTCGTGGGCCATCTCTACCACGTCCTCCCCTTCACTGCTGGGCAATATGGCTTCTGGGAGAGGAGGAAGAAGGTGCACATCCGCTGCCTTCCTTTAGTTTCTATCATTCAATTTCTCCCATCTTGTACAATCAAATAAAGTCTTCATGGATGAAATGTCATCAGGGAGAGACTTGGAGAAAAAGTTACTGTCCCCGACCAGCAGTCAGGTCAGTTCAGTGTCTGAGTCCCCGATTGTGTGTTGTTTTTTCACCAGTCATGCCCTAGCCAAGTTACAACTTTTGCTAACGTGGACATGAATGCTTCGCTATGTGACTTGCCTTGATTTGATGGCTAATGTGAGCTTCTCACAGGCTTAACTTTTTCCTGTCTGTTTCTGCACTCACCCACATATCCAGAGGAACTTTCAGAAGGTAATTGTTTTTATTTTGGGGGTACGCCAAGTTAGGGCTATGTTTAAGATCTTTGAGGACCTCAAAGTGGATACTTGACAAGATAACTTTTAAGATAAAGATAGGATATTTTATGGGTGAAATGAATAATAAAATATTCAGTTTCATAGCAAACATTTAAAAATGAACATTGAAAGTAATTCAGTTTTATGAATCTATTCCTCAGTAAACATTCCCTTTTAAACATATTGCTATATGTCTCAGTTAGAAAATGTGCTTCCTTACCAAAAGATGGAATTGATGTTGGTGTGTTTTCTTTGTATTTTAAAATGCATGTTTTTTAAACAAAGTTGAGAAAAAAAGGTTGTATATGTCAGTTCATTCTAGGAACAAAGGCACTCTATTATTTCAATGATCAGAACAGAACTGTATAAATGACAAAGAACTTAAGTAAAAAGCAATTTGAAAAAGACATTTTTATAACATGTTTTCCTGGGGCTTATAACAATTTTTGTGATGCCCCAGTGGAAGGAGAAGCAGGAGAATGAACTAGCTTTAGAGACTTCCTAGGTGCTAGGCACAGTTTTCCTCACTTTGTCCTCTCAGATTTCTGGTTAATCAGAAACACTTGGCAGACAGAGAGTGAACACAATAAGTCCCCTACATTCGAACCTTCAAGTTACAAACTTTAACAATGCACATCTGCATCTTTTAATGTATTATTTCTTCCCACCAGGTGTCAGTATAGCCTGTCAAATACATAGAGTATTACATAGCCAAATGTGTTATTTGAGTACCTAGGCTAAATTTGTTGAACTTAAAACAAATTGAACTTACAAATGTGCTCTCAGAACTGAACTTGTTCATTTGTTGGGGACTTCCTGTACTGATTTTATATAGAATGAACTATTTTATTTATCTTAATGTAATTATTTTTTAATTTTTTTATAGACAGGGACTCATTCTGCTCCCAGACTGGAGTGTAGTGGTGTGATCATAGCTCACTATAGCCTGGAACTCCTGGGCTCAAGCAATCTCCCCACCTCAGCCTCCTGAGTGGCTGGAACTACAGGAGTGCACCACCACACCCAGCTAATTTTTTATACTTTATAGAGACAGGGCTTTTACTATGTTGGTCTTGAACTCTTAGCCTCAAATAATCCTTCCAAATCGGCCTCCCAAAGCACTGGAATTACAGGTGTGAGCCACTGCACACGGCCAGAATGAACCATTCTAAAAGGGAGAAAAGAAAAATCCATGTCTAGCAAAGAGGTTCATTATAGGACTGGCATGAACACCATATGTATAAGTTAAAGCCAAAGCGAGTTTATCTATTCTTTTTTTTTTTTAAATTCGGTTTCCTTAAGGTATGTTTAAAAATGTATACCCAGTTTTTATGTTTTTGCTATGACTCAGTATCTTTCCTGTAACTTTAAACAAGCCTAAAGTAGCTTTTTGTTATCAGCCGTACTCGACAGAATACATTCAGTGTAATGTTAACGTTCTGTGAAGTGTCTCTCTGTAGTTTGTTGTGTGTGAATAATAAGATGGTAAATGCTTAGAACATTCTTCAATAAGCCACTGGGGAGGGGGATAAATTCCACTGTGCTGCCATCTACTGAACTGTCACTTGAAAAATTGAAAATAATTTCCATGCATTTTTTTCTAAGTAAACTTCTCACCCTCACACACTCTGCTCCTGCTGTTCCCTGTGCTGCAGACAAGGAGGAATTTGTTGGCCATGGGCAAACGTTCTTTATCGGTAGGTGATGATTAATGAGAGGTGGGTTTTTGTCACAAAACTGCATTCATACCAGACTGATGCTCATCTGAAAGCTTTTTTGCTGATATTTCCAAACATGTTCCTTGTCCCTCTGTCCTTTCTTTTTGTTAATGTTTTGATCTATTGATTATTCATTTTTCTTCATCTAATCTCCAATGGGTACCTCTTAATTATTCACTAAACACAAATCTTTTCATTTTTTTATTTCAGACTGTTCTATAATCTATCTATCCTTTCTAAAAAGACCAACTCTCTAACAATTAAACTTAAACTTTATGGCCACGTTTCTGTGATCCATCACCGGGGCAGAGCTTTCTGAAGAATGAGGCACCACTCGTGTAAAACCCTCTGGGCTTCTTTCTCCAGGGAGGCAGGGGGAGAAGTGTAGCACTGTGCATCTGTAAGCTAGAAGGTTGATTCCCAAGTCTGGGTGTACTTTGGAATTATCCTGAGAGTTTAACATGATTGCTTCCAGAATCATTCAGCCCCAAAGCCATCAGGTAGGGTTGAGCAGGTTGGGCAGCTGCATGCTGGTGGGGAAGAAGGAGTGTGGTAGGGTGTAGAAGGGTACAGGGGGCATCTGCACACAGCGCAATGGTGGCCGGGCACAGGTTGTTAAAGTCAGGAGGGCAGTTGCCATCTCCTGGCCTCTAATACCTTACAGCCTCTGCAGAGATGCCCTCCTTATCTAGCCTGGGCTTTGATACTTTCTGCCTGGCTGCCAGCACTGCCTGTCCCTGTCCTGCACAGGTGTCCTTGGTTGATATAATTAGCAAGTACCTTGAAGACAGTAAGAGCCAGGACTCTCACTGATGGAGAAGGGAGTTCTGGATACAGAAACTCCTGCAGTGCTGGGTTGGCATTGCAGGTCCTAGTATGAACTCAGGGCTTCCAATATACAAGGGGGATTCCCAAAACCCAGAATTATATTTTGGAGGGTGGGTCCCTTGTAGTATAGGCTTCTTCTGCTAGGTAAGTGTTCTAAGAACTCACCAGCATCAGTGTGTACCAGATAGTGTTGTGAGAGGCTATGTATGGCTTCAAGGAAGTTTTTTTGGAGATTCTTTTAACGTGTTAGCCCATTTCTGATGGGGGATTTACGAGTGCAGTGGCCCATACTACGCTGAGTGTTCAGCAGTTTTTTACCAAAAATAGCCCCACTCTCCCTGAGCAACTTTTGTTTCCCTGGATTAAAAAAAAAAAAAAGTCCTCAAAGGGAAACATTTTGCGGATGTAGACAAGGTGAAACAAAAAATAACAGAAGCACTAAAAGGCATCAAAGTTGACGAGTTCAAAAACTGTTTTCAGCAGTGGAAAAAGCCTTGATTGGTGTATTGCATCAAACGGAGAGTACTTTGAAGGTGACTGAAGTTTAAACCTGTAAGAATAAATATACAATGTTTTATAAATAAATTTCAGGGTTTTTGGATCCCCCCCTAATAAGTAGATACAAATGTGGATGTATTTATACACACACAGAGCTCCTAGCTCTAGCAACTGAGAGAACCCGGGGCAGTCCTAAAAATACCAGAAAACCCTGGGACTCAAAATGCAGATTAGCCGGGCCCGGTGGCTCAGCCTGTAATCCCGTGCCTTTGGGAGGCTGAGGTGAGTGGATTGCCTGAGCCCGTGGGTTCGAGACCCGCCTGGGCAACTTGGCGAGACCTCATCTTTACAATAGATCAAAAAATCAGCTGGGCGTGGTAGCGCATGCCTGTAATTCCGGCTACTTGGAAGGCTGAGGTGGAAGGATCGCCAGAGCCCAGCAGGTCGAGGCTGCGGTGGCCGGGAGCAGCCACTGCACTCCAGTCTGGGCGACAGAGTGAGACTCCAACTCAAAAAAAAAAAAGGCAGATTAAGTAGGAGTACAGGAGTTCAGAAATGCTGACTCAGATGTCCAGTTTTGCCTCATCACACAGCCCTGCAACCACCTGGCCTGTCTGTGTGTGTCAGTGTAGACGTCTGCAAAAAATGACTTGCTGTCTCCACCCTGACCCAAGCTGCCACTGCCTTTCAACCAGACCACAGCAGGGGCCTCTTAACTGCTCTTCCCGGAGGCCACACCGACTGCCCTATGATTCACACCCTCCCCATGGCAGTCAGAAGAACCCTTCAAAAGCAGTAATCAAACCATGCCACCCCGCCTCTCAAGCGTCCAACCGCTTCCCATCACACCTCACCACAACCACCCACAGGTCCCTGTGGGATCAGCGCCAGCCACCCCTACTCCTCTTCCCACCACGCTCTCCTGCTCATCTCCCTGCAGCCACAGGGCCTTCCTGGCTGTTCCTGGGACACTCTGAGCACGTCCCTCTCTCCTCACCTTTGCGTTTGCTGTTCCCTCTGCCTGGCTTGCTCTTCCTCGCAGGGCCTTCCTTGGCGGTTCCGTTGCTTCATCCAGACATCTGCCCAGTGCCAGCCTTTCAGAGACACCCTAAGCCAACTTCCTGCCTGAAAAAGCACCCCGTCACTCCCCATCCATATATCTTATTCTAAGCACTTGTTTGTGTTGTTATTGATGATTGCTGTCTCTCTTCCTTCACAACGTGTCAATTTCATGAGAAAATGGTCTTGGCTTCGTTCGCCCCTCTATGCCCAGTGCCGCCCTAGCCCAGGGTGGGCACCTGGGAGATCACACCTGGGGCCTTTGTTGTTTCTGGAGATCACACGTGGTCCTTTCGTTATTTTTCCTTTACATTTCCCCCACCTTCTAACTTCAGACAGGCAGGCCTATCTTTATCTTAATGAGCACTTTAGAATCGCAGTCGCTGCCTTCTGTTTTATCAGATCCGAAGCCAGAAGGAATCTCCCCTGCCTGGCTCTAATGCCCTGTGCGTGTCGCCTCTGCAGCTGGTTTCCGCCGCAGCATGCGCCTTTGCCGTCGGAAGTCTCACCTGTGTCCCCTGCGCGCCGGCGTGTGCTGCTCTGAGAGTAGCTACAGCGCCGTGGGGGCCCCTTACGAGGAGGTGACGAGGTACCAGCGCCGCCCTGCGGACAAGCACCGCCTCATAGTGCTCGTGGGTACGTCTCTGGGCACTGACGACTCATCCGTGGGACGTTTTTTTTCTTCTAGATTCCATTGTCTTGCGAGGTAGTGGGAGTAAAAGGAGGACGCACCATGAACTCCCGTATACCTTCTTTTTAAAAAGCAGTGGCTCAAGCCTGTAATCCCAGCACTTTGGGAGGCTGAGGTGAGAGAATTGTCTGAGACCAGCCTGGGCAACTTGGTGAGACCTCCTCTCTACAATAAATCAAAAAATTAGCTGGGCATGGTGGCTCACGCCTGTAGTTTCTGCTACTTGGAAGGCTGAGGCAGAAGGATTGCCTGAGCCCAGCAAGGGGAGGCTGCGGTGGCTGTGAGCAGCGTCCCACTGCACTCTAGCCTGGGCGACAGAGTGAGACTCCAACTGAAAACAAACAAACCTGTTTTATATGTGTGTTTACAAATAAAACATTGTTGTCTCAAGCAATTTTTGGGTCTACAATTGACTGTGGTATGCCATGGTTTTTATGAACTTAGATAATAGCAAGGTGTGTTATGATGAGTTTATACCTGAGATTATTTTTGCCTTTTTGGAATTTGTTCTATAAGCATAGATGAGTGTTTGCCCAGACTGAATCATTAGTCTATAGCCTAAAAACAAATCCTTAAAGTCTATTTCCCTAAGAAATCAGCAACTGCCTCTTTCAGAAAGTGTCTACAGTCTTCTAGACTGTCTCTTTGATGCTGGAGATCAGGGCAGATACAATGCTAGGGTGGCCTGCTTTTGCCACCAAGACCTTTCTCTGCAAAACCAGTCCCCGCAACAGTAGTAACTGATGCCATCCTGTCTGTATGTTCAGCTGTGAGCAGCGAAGGTCCTTGTCGAGTAGGAGAACCTGCCTTACAGTCAGGACCAGAGGCATCCTTTGCAGGGCCAGTGGGAAAACTCAAGGCCCCTGGTTCAAGATGCAGCGGCAGGGCATTAATCCAGGCGCGGGATCCTTCTAAGCATGGACCCTGCCCAGCCAGACTCTATGCTCATGAAGTCAGCCCTGCCTCCAGGCAGTCATGGGACGCTGTCGCAACCTGGTCAGAAATATGCCCCTGAATTCTGCACATCACAGAACCTGTAACTGTCGAGGCTGATTATAATAGAAACATCATTGGAAGAAGAAAGGCAGATCTTTCACATTATCTGCCATTAGACCAGCTAATTCTCTTGGCATCCCACATTAGACGCAGTTTCCTGGGGGGACAGGCTCCTGCAATCTCATTTCTGAATATTGAAGCAGTGTGGGTTACTCCATGGGATGCTAGGAATATTCTCAAGAGTTTCCTGGGGTTGTTCCGATTCATGAGAAGGGAAGTTATATCATTTCCCTGAAAACATTTGCTCTCAAGTTTCCTCAGTAGAGAGAGTAAGATGATGATTTCACCACATAATTCTGTTTATCCACATCTAATGATTTCTGTATGTGAATTTTTGTGTTTAGGACCTTCTGGTGTTGGAGTAAATGAGCTGAGAAGACATCTTATTGAGTTTAATCCCAGCCATTTTCAAAGTGCTGTGCCACGTATGTTTAGCTTTTCTTTTCTAGTGGTTCATGTTTTGGTAAAACTGTCTTTGCGTCTTCAAATGTACTGATCCCACTTAACTATGTCATACCATCTTTGTTGCAAGAGTATAAAGGATAGTCATTAAATATTTCTAACTATATTTATTTTAATGAAGAGACTTATTTATTGGTGTGTAACCAGCTGGCTTTTAAATGGCGATTCTGTCATTTTTAAATTTCTTAACAATTATACAGATGGCCTTTCAGGAAAACTAATATTTCCCAATAATAGCTAACATACATTCAGTGCTTGCTGTCTTCCCAGCACTGTGCTTAGTTCTTTAAATGCCTATTTATCTTTTATCTAAAATTTTTTGTGTATGTACCTATAACTTTATATAAACCTATGAGTATAATGATACAGTACATGGTGGTTTTTAAAATGGTAATTTCTTATTTCCTTTTACTCCTGGCTTATTTATTTCTCTTAAGTGCCCCCTTTACCACCCCCAACTCCCAAGATGTAATCTTCCAGACTTTTCTCTATATTCACTCCACCCATTTAGAGCTGTTGTGGGACTTTTTTTTAAGCTTTAAGACATTTGAGAACTACAAGTCTAAAAATGTAAAGTATTATTTATTTCCTACTGTGATTCATCCTTCAAAAAAAAAAAACTGTAAAACTCACTCTAAGAAAACCTGTTTTGTTGTAAAAATAGAACTTGAGATAGAATTCCTGATTTCAAGAAAATAGAGGGTTTATAGTAATGCATAGTTTCTAATACGTGTAAAAGGAGGCTAGAGTTTTGACTGAGGCACCAAATTGCAAATCTTTAAATGAGGAATGTGAAAGCCAGGTAAGCCCCTCGCACACATCAAGGGCGTATAAGGGTTGGAAGGGAAGTTCACAGGTTTTCAGGGAGGCCTCTGGAGGCAGCCTCGCTGTGAGTCCCACCCCAACAGCATGTGAGTGTAGGTGCTGCCCCTTCCCCCAAGGCAAGAGAGAGGAATTCAGAGAGACTATTTCAAAAGCTTTCTGTGCCGGGCTCGGTGGCTCAGCCTGTAATCCCACACCTTTGGGAGGCTGAGGTGAGTGGATTGCCTGAGCCCACGGGTTCGAGACCCGCCTGGGCAGCGAGACCTCATCTCTACA